AGAGTCACTAATGAGTCGCAGGTGACTTGAAAGCACATAATAACAACACAATAAGTAAACTTACTTTATTAGACCATGACATTATTATTCATGGTAGGTAATTTCCTTTAAAAATGTTAGTCTTTAGGTGCCTCAAACAAAGATTTTGTGCCACAACACAGCAGAAAGTTTGAATTCAACATAAGTTTTGGATGGACCTCCACTGGCACCAAATAATTTTATAGTCATCTTATGGTTTACCTAGACTCAAATGAATGCACAAATTTATCTAGACACAACATCCCCTAATAATTTTTCATGTTTCACCTCTGTCCTAACTGGGTTACCTCCAAAATCTGTGTTCAGTCTGAGAATAAAGAGTCACTCTCTTTCCTGAGCACGTTCTATTCATGGTAATACACAGAATGTTGGCCAACTGGGTAAACAACTTGACCTGACCATTCCAGTAGAGCTACCATAAATATTGCCAACTATGACAACATTCCCAGCATAGAGAAATGGCATAAAAGAATGTAATGCGTGGTGAGAGTAACTTGGTAGATATTGCAGGATGAGATGACATGGAGATGAAAGTTTGGTGACCTTAGTTCACATTTAGCCCTTAGCCAGCCCTGTGAAAATCATATGACTTCACCTGATCTTTAATCATCCCTCATAGGATAGTAGAACTTGGAAAGACAGGTGAAGCACTCAATGTACTATAGGAATATAACTTCCCTATGGCCTGTCCATTTGCTGTACAGAGGTAACTTATGGTTGCTGTGATGCTAAACACTGTGACACTGATGTGTCAAATGAGAAAATGGTCACCCATGATGGATAGTGTTTGGTGGAGCTTCCCAATTAAAACAAGCTTGGAAGCAGGAGTGGCATCCACTTCCGAAATAGCTTGCCTCTGGAAACTCTATGAACGTGAAGAAATGGTGAAAGTTATACAAGTGTTCAGATCTTCCGTTCATATGGTCACTATGAGTCAGCTACAACTCGACGTCACTTAACAACAACAACAACAGCAAAATAGATCAAGCTACAATGCATAATTGTCATTGACTTTGCTCTACAGAGTAAAGAAAATAATTCCTTGTAATATATGTTATTGATATTTGCCATAGAAACAGAAACGACTCATAGCTGACTTTCTAGAGGGTTTTCAAACCCAGTAAGTAACCCACAACGGAATTACCCATCTTTCTTCCCCAGAGAAGCTGGTAGATTTGAACCGTGTTCCTTTGGGTTGGCAGCATAACTCCTTATCATATTCGAATGTCAAACATAATAGAAAAGACAAATGTTACTATTGACTGTAACTAGTTCCATATATTTTGCAATGGGTCCGACGTTTCCACAATCATTTTGGAAAAATGCTTTGAATAATTAGTGAGGATAAATTCTTAAGCTGATTTTATTCTGCCTTGCTTAAGGGTTGTTTATGTTAGGTGCTGTCAAGTTGACTATAACTCATAGCAATCCTATGCACCTTGCCTTCTCCTGTGCCATCCTCATCATCTCTGATGTACTCGATCTCATTGTTACGATCACTGTGTCTATTCATCTTCTTGTTGTAATCTTTTCTTTTACTTCAGCACTATTCCTCAAGATCACTGAGAACACATGCTCCACTTTCATTGTTGGAGAATATGCCATGTTAAATATCTTCCTATGGCTCTTTCTGATGTTGTTGCTGTAGGTGTCATCAAGTCAAGCACAACTCATAGCGACCCCATGAACAACTAGGATCCTAGGACCTGAATTCTGTGCTATTCTTTATCATCCTCATCACTCTGATATGCTTGCACCCACTGCTGCAGTCACTGTGTCAATCCATCTCATTGAAGGTCTTTCTCTCTTTCACTAAACCTACATACTTGGAAGTATGATAGCCTTTTCCAAGGAACAGCCTCTTCTAGCAATGATGAAGCTTTACCATCCTTATCTCCAAGGAGCACCTGGCTGCACCTTTTCCAGGACACATCCGGTCATTCTTTCTGACAGATCTGAGTAAATATTTGGACACAAAGGGAACTCAAATATCTACAGACAGTGTATAAACATTAAAAGAAAGAGAAAGAAAGAAACTAGAAAATAGTTGCTATTAAATTCATTCTAATTCATGGCAATCTCCTTTGTGTCAGAGTAGGACTGTGGTCCATGTGGTTTCCCAAAAGAATCTGCTCTTTATGAAACATATTGTTACATTTTCTTCTATAGATTCCAGTCCAGGCTCCTTTTATTTTTTGCTGAGTTCTTATCAATTTGCTCTACTCAAATGAAGGGGCAATCAGTGGAGCCAATTTAACGAGGGAAAAAATATTTGGAGAACTAATACAGTACCTCTCTACATGTCACAAGGAGCTCTGGTGGCATAGTGGACAAAGTAGTGAACTTCTAGCCAATAGGTCAGTCCTTCGAATCCACCATCCATCTGCTCTTTTTCCTCTCATTACAATCTAGGTCCTTAAAGACTACTGGAAAGTTACAATTTTAGGAAGTCACTTAAAGACAATGGGATAGAGGTTCTTCTAGGCACTGAATCATCACCCCATTGAATGCAAAATTTGATGCTTATTCAACAGTCAAATGGAGAAGAATAAGAGTTGGTTGAATGCAGGAGTGTAGAATTCAATAAAAAAATGTTAGAGATAGAAATTGTAAAACACCAGTCGGATGATCAAGTTATAGTATCCAGGGAAAAAGAACAGAGTAACAACAGACTTTAGGATTATTCACAACTCCCAAAGTCCCCAATCTAACTGCAAATATAAAGGCAAGAGACAAAAAAGGATTTTTCACAATAAGTTACCATTTTACTGCAGCATTGGTTCACATTCTATTGCACTTGTAACAAATTGTCTTACAGCCAGATCCCCCAAACAATGTGGCTTTATCATTCCCTAGTTTCCTTGGAATGAGTGTGTGTGTGTGTGTGTGTGTGTGTGTGTGTGTGTGTTAGGCGGGTAGTTTAGTAGAGGAGTTTTAATTGGTTTTCCTACTATCATTCACTGGAAGGAGTGGCATCCACTTCCATAATAGCTTGCCTCCGGAAACCCTATGAACCCGGAGAGAGGATGAGAGACACCCAAGTGTCGAGGACTCTCCTTCATAGGGTCGCTATGAGTCGCCTGGGACTCAACAGCACTTAACAACAACAACTATCATTCATCCTTACCATCTCTGGCACACTTGTGCCCATTGTTGAAGTCACTATGTCAATCCATCTTGTTGAGGGTCTCCCTTGTTCACAGGATTGCAATGAGTCGTGCTCAACCCAAGAGCACCTAATACCAGCAACATTATCCTTCATAGATGTTTTTATCATCTTCTCGTTGACTAAGGAATTGAACTAATCTAAAGGTAGGCAGCTTAAGTCCATTTATTTGCTCCTTGGGAGAAGGATAATCAATTTCCTCTCATGCTATTGACATTCTCTGAAAATCCTCTGGAGGATCAGCTACAAGTTGGTTCTGAATTGATTGCAATGAATTTTGACATTGAATCAACCCTAGTAAGCTAGTTTTTCTGACAGTCTGGAACCAACAAATCACTCATCTAGTAATTGAAAAGTTGAACTCTTAATCCACCCAGAGGCATCTGTGAAGAAAATCTTGGAGCTCTCCATCTGAAAGATCACCGCCATTGAAAACCCCGTGGTATGTAGTTCTTTTCTGAAGCACATAGTATATCCACTAGTTAGAATCTACTCTGGATATTTAAAAAAAATGTTTCGACCACTATGTTAGTTTCACCAATAACGGGTAGCAAGTGTACTAGCAGGGTAGGAACTACAAAGCACCAGCAAACATGGCCCCTACTCTGGGTCAGAAGAATATAGAGAGGGGGGAAAAGGAACAGACCTCTCTCTTTGGGTACAGAAAAATGTATGGAGGAAAAAGAAGGAATTGTAATGCTATAATATAATTTCCTGAAGGATAAAGATCATATTTGCAAGGAAGAGGGAAAGATGATCAGGGAAGACCGACTAGAGCTGTGTGCTAGACATTTAAGGATAGAATGGAATGGCCTAACATAAATTAAAGGCATTTCATGCAGGAGGACAAAAGGAGCAAATTCTCAGATGGTAAAAAAAGGTGACACAGACTGACAAATATATTCTTTTTTAAATTTCATTTTATTTTTTCGTTTTTGTTTTTAATTTCCTGTTCACTCCTGTGAGAATGTGTTACTAGAGATAAACAAGGTAGTGTTGTTTTGTTTTTTTTTTTCATTGCCACAGGAAAACATAAGTTATCAAGTATCAGCAAAGGGAACTTCCAGTTCTCTCTTGTGCTGTACATTTCTGGAAAGAACGCTGACCTGTTTACTCTCTTCGTGACCCAATCACAAAGTCGCGCACACTTTTGCTCGCAGCCTATTGGCTACTGTAAAAGGACTCTGGGAAAGGACTAATGAGCAGCGGAGTCCGGATTCTGGAAACAGTTCTGATCGGGAATGTGTGACATTGAGAGAACCTCGGACTTTGTAAACAAGGACAAGTATGGGCGGGCCCGACCCACGCGACCCGGAACCCTGTCCCAAGCCTCTGATCTAGAACTCTTGTTCTTCCAAAGTGTTCCCTCAGTGTCTTGCTGCCCTACCTCACTCTCACAGCCCCAGGCAGGGTGCCAGTCCAATCTCAGAGGACAGGGGCGGGGCCCAAAGTTCCTTCTCTGAGCTGATTGGCCTGACCCAAGTTTAGGACGCGTATCCAAGACTCTGTGGCTCCACCCCGTAGGGCATGGGAGTGGAGGAGAGCACGCCACGAAACAAATAAAACCGGGGTAAACCACTAGGGTGACAAGATGCGACTCTGAATTTCCAGCCACTGGACCTCGAAAAAGACTGACTGCCTGGCTCTTCCAACCTGTGACATTCTCTAACTCCATCCCAAGCAGAGATAGCTCTCCTGCCAGCGCACCTGCCCTCCTATCAACTCGATTTTGCACCGGATAGCTTTTGCCTGTCAACCTAACTCCAGCCACTGCCAGGCCTGGTGGGCTTTAAAGATGAAGGCGGCCCGGTTTGTGATGCGCAGCGCTGGCTCGCTGAGTGGCGCGGGTCTGGTGGTCCCCCGCGAGGTCGAGCATTTCTCGCGCTACAGCCCGTCGCCGCTGTCCATGAAGCAGCTGCTGGACTTTGGTGAGCGGGGCTTAATGTCCAGGCAGGGACACTGGAGCTAGAGAACTGCCTTAAGTTTCAGCAGCTGAACCTAGTGGAAAGGAGGAGGTTGTTTTTTGGGGGGTGGGAGTGGGAAGAGGCGGTAATAGAGAAGATTTTGGGAAGAGGGGATTTTGTTAATTCCTTCTGAGATTGAGCCCTGGATCCTCCACACCACGTCCTTAGCTAGATTTGGCTTCTTTTTTAAAAATCTGTGACCACATTTAAAAGAGTACTTTGGTTTGGGCTCATCTTTTCTGAACAGAACTTCCAGTAAAAAGAGTTCTTGCTCTCAGTCACCATTTAACAGTAGACTAGAAACTTTATCTTCTCTTTAACAGTGTAATACTTGTTGGAGAAGATAGAGAGATGGATAGAGATAGACCATAGGTATACTGTGCACCATCCAGTCTGAAATGACCCACAGCTGACTCTTCAGTGTGTTTCAAGAGGCAGTAAATGGGCACAGGAGGAAACTGACCATATGTCTTCTGCAGAGCAGCTGGTGGATTCGAACTGCATGCCTTCACTTTGGCAGCACAATTCTTTATCTCTAAACCACCAGAGAGTATTATATAGTCCACTTCCAGTTAACTGACATTTTTTACCCCATTGTTATCCTCAATCCCTCAGTATTCCTAAAAGATTTCTTTGTCCTTTTACCACATCATTTCCCCATATATTCACTGCTGGATACATTCACTGAAATAATTTTCTAAGTTTCCAGGGTTTAAATATGATATTATTTACCACCACTAGTTTGAAAATATATACAACTCCATTCCTATTTGACATCCTATAAAGGAAGTTGTTTTTTTTTTTTTTGAAGTTGTTTTGTTGACACTGGGTGTTTGTGAATACTGCCACGTGTGGGGTATTTTGATATATTGGAATTGAATCTTCATCAAAACAAGATACAGCAATAGTGTCCTTATATTGGTCACTTTAAAAAAGCAAAGAACAAAAAAGACAATAATGTTCGTGTCTCAATTATCTGGAACAGTAAATAACTGAGGATAGAATTATCCAATAGTTTATGCTATGGAAATATACCATCTACTCATACTTTATGTATAAAAAAGAAAACAAATATCGTTTATTTCAGGTTCAGAGAATGCCTGTGAAAGAACTTCTTTCGCATTTTTGCGGCAAGAATTGCCTGTGAGGCTAGCCAATATCTTGAAGGAAATTGATATCCTCCCTGATCGACTCTTAACTACCCCTTCAGTGCAGCTAGTTAAGAGCTGGTAAGTGGAAAACCATTCTGTGTAGTTTCTAGTTTTGAAACAGATTATGATTTCTTGTAACATGTTATCACTGGAATTGAGAAATAGATGATCTGACCAGTAAATACTTTTGAAAAAGAGAAATAATTTTTATTACTTTAGCACCAATTATTATAAGAACAACTACAAAACTCTATAAACATTTTACCCTGGGGGGGGATACTTTTACAGCATTATTTTTGTTTCCAGAAGAAATAAGAAAATGTGTGTACAACTTTAATTTTGAATTGTAAGTAATGAGAGACAGAATGCGATATTATAAAAGGAATCTTATGACTAAAAACAGATGTGAATGGCTAACTGTTGTTGTTATATGCACTATGACTCATAGTGACCCTATGAACAACAGATCAGAACCTTCTATCCTGAGCCATCCTCCCGGTCTTCGACATGGCTAGTATTTAGGGAAAGCCCAATTTTTATTACTACAAAATCATTCACAGAGTGGACTCTGGATTACATTTCTGACTCTTCCAGGTTCTAGCTGTGAGACCCTTAGTAACTGTCTTAAATGCTCTGTACAGTAGTTCCCTCCTCTGTTATTGAGGAGAATAAAGCATTTGCCTCAAAAAGATAAAGCCAGATGAAATAATTCATAAAAAGTGCTTAAATGAGTACCTGGTACAAAGCAGAGATTCAACGTCATTTAGTCTTACTATCTTACTTTACAAATAAGAATACTGAGATTGAGAAAGGGCAGATAACCCCAAAGGAGCAGATTTTCAGAGAATGTTGTTGTTATTATATACCTTTCTCTTACAGAGCCACAGGTGAATTTGAACCACCTGCCATTGGGTTGGCAGAGCAACTCTTACACTCTAGGCCATCAGAGTTTTCCAAATATGCTGAAGGGAAATTTTAATTTTAAACATAATACCCACTTTCTCTTTTCCAATATATGTGGTAAAAAAAGACTTTCCTTTTAGTCAGTTGTATCTGATTACTCATCTGAAAGCCTAAAGCACCCTTATCATTTCACAGGTACATCCAGAGCTTGATGGACTTAGTGGAATTCCATGAGAAAAGCCCAGAGGACCAAAAAGCTTTATCAGAGTAAGTAGACCCTATGAATGGGAATAAATGTTTAAAACTCTGATGATCTCCAAACATATTTAAGATTTTGCAACTAAACTAAGGAAATTTGAACTCTGAAAATTAAATTATGTTCCTCTTTGAAATAATCAGTTTGTGCTTACCAGTTTTTAGAACTGGTGGAGGTATAAGGCATTAAAAATGGTGCTGAGTATGGACATGTACAAAGTACTTGATTTTTCTTCTTTAAGAAACCCTCATTTTACCAAAAGTTCAGACTTATGACTATAAATCTGATTTATAATTTGATGTTAATGCCTTCCTGTGTTGTTGGAGACTGAATATTTTCTTTCAAAATAATTTCTAGTAATCTAAACAAGATTTTTTTGGTTTGTTTTCTAACTATGACCAAATAGTTCTTTTTTAAAGGTTAAGCTTTCTAATATGTAATGAACACCTACAATGAATGCTTCCATGATCGGTTGATAGGTAGATAGGTTGATAATTTTTGCATATAAGCTAAAGGCCAAAAATTACATGGTTATGAAACTGCCTTTTCTTCCATAGTAGAAGAAGCTACAGTAAGGACCCTAATAATACTTACTTTCACTAATTGTAAATGCTCTGGCTTAGTTTTGTAGATACACTTGTCAAAGTTCGGAATAGACACCATAATGTAGTCCCTACAATGGCACAAGGAATCATAGAGTTTAAAGATACCTGTGCTGTTGACCCAGTCACCAATCAAAATCTTCAGTATTTCTTGGATCGATTCTACATGAACCGTATTTCTACACGAATGCTGATGAATCAACACAGTAAGTGAGCTCATCATAATCTTCATACAGATAAATGGGTGTAGAAGGTAAACCATACTATGATTAGATATCTCAGTAATTGGTCTGCCACACTTTTTCTCATGGGAATTTAATAGTTATTCTCCTAACTTACATATATAGAGAGAGGGCTCCGATGACTTAGTGGTGAGGAGTTAGTTGTACTGTGAACCCAAGACAAGCAGCATTCAAATTCACCAACTGCTCCATGAGAGAAAGATGGGCAGTCTCTTCCCCTGCAATGTCTACCTCTCTGAAAACTCACTAGAGGACCAATTATGAGTTGGTTCTGACTCAATGGTACACAAAACCAACATATATATAAATAATTTAAATATATATAAATAAATATGTATATTTTTTTTCCTTAACAGTTCTTATATTTAGTGACTCACAGACAGGAAACCCAAGCCATATTGGAAGCATTGATCCAAACTGTGATGTGGCAGCTGTGGTCCAAGGTAATGTCAATATTTTTGCATTTTCTTTATTGAAAATATGCAATGTGTGATTGGCTTATCTATCAGTGAGAATGAATCTGTGCTTTTATAAATGCTATCATCAAAGTTCTTTTCCTTTGAGAGTTAAGAAATTAAACAACCATTTATTATAAAAGATCCTAACATCAGTTGATAATATACGATGTTCTTAATATATATTGTATTTGATTTTAGAAATGTGCATATTATTTTACATTTTTCTTCAAGTAAAATACAGCAAAGGTGTTTTTCTGTACATGTGCTAGTGAACATTTTTTGTTAAGTGTAATATATCACACTGAAGAGCACTTGAGACTGACTTCCATAAATTCACTTCATTGTAACAATTTTTTCCTATTGTAGATGCCTTTGAATGTTCAAAGATGCTTTGTGATCAGTACTATTTAACATCTCCAGAATTAAAGCTCACACAAGTGAATGGTAAGCTATAAATAAAACATTTTATTCTAGGAAAAGTTCAGCATTCTCTCACCCGGAAAAAAAATAAATTCATGAATATAAACCAACTCCAATGTTCCTTTTCCCTCTGTACCTTTTGTCTAGAACTTGTACACAATTTTTTTCCCTTCATGCCAAAGTTCTTTCTGGCTACTTCTTTGAACAGCTCTAATTGAGTACATTCATTTGCTAATGATGATTCAAAGAGAGGTTCAGTCTGAACAAATAATTTGGGCTTTAGGGTAGCAACTAGGTCTTGCTATCTTAGATCAAAGAAAGACAGCTTATTAATTCAAAGGACCTGGGGGAGGGTTTGTAAAACAATGAAAGAATCTTTTCTTTTACTTTTCCATAATTTTTGGACTCATGTACTTATAACTTGTTAGTCAAATTTGTGTCTTCTAGGTTGCAACACCCCCATGATACATCTTCAAGGATATGTACATGTACAGCCAAGCACAATCAATAAGAGTGCATCTGAATTCCAAAATCAATCTCCATAATAGTCTATGTGTTTCCTACTGCCAAAGGGGCCCTTTAGAGTAGTGAGAGAAGATCTTCACCCTGAAACCCACAGCGTCCCTTTTCAGCAGGAAGTAGCTAAGAGAATACGCCGTGCCCTTTTCCTTATGACTCAGGGTGAAGTCTCTCTCAGGGAGGAGTGATAGGGAATGGCAAAGGATACACTGACAAAGAAGATTGATCAGAACTGGCTTTGACAAGCACTGTGGCATTTGGACAAGAACAAACTGGGAGGAGGGTAGAGAGAATAGTGCAACAATGAATGAGTGGAAGCCCAAAATCTCTGTAAATGTTTATGAAAATTAATAAAATATAATTCTAGAAAACAAACAAACAAAAAAACCAAAAAACAAAGTGCCAAGGGAATGTGGGCAAAGATTGGGAAATCAGTGACCAGTGGACATGCAGAGGTGACTTCTAAAGCTTACAAAAAAGAAAAGCCCTTCAATGTGATTGGAGGCCCCTATTTTGAAAGCAGAACAAATGTCAAAAGCTTTAACTCTAAGTTGCCTGAAAAGGCAGTCCTAAGCTGACCACAGTAATTACTGGATGAATTCAAGGCATAATTTTTATTTTATTCTACAAGATAGTTCCATCCCAAATATGCATAATTTACCGAAATTGGATAGCTTTCTCCTTTTCATTCACAATAAACATTTTTCCCCAACAGGTTTATTCAAGAACAATGTTTGTTAGCGGGCAGAATTAGCATCAAGTAGTTGAAATTAAGGAAGTGCATAGATTACAAATATACAAGTGATACGTGAATGCAAAACTAAAATCAAAAGTACAAAAAGAGGTTGAAAAATATCTCTAAGCATAGAGTGTTGTTGCATAATACTTGTAGATAAACTGTTTTCACTGTTTGGTAAAATAAAGAGGGAATTGTGCCAGACCTTTTGTTTACTTATTCAGACTTTGCCAAGGCCTGCAACACTCAAGAATAATACTTTTTATTTTCAAGCAGTTTTATGAGGTTTTTGTATCTCTGTTTTCTTTAGCCTCTTGGTAAGATTTAAATGTATTTAGCATAGAAGATTTCATGTTTGGATTGGTGTACCAATTAGGAATAATCTGATGTGTCCTTTGTATTGACAATATGAAAATTTTAGCTAACACTAATTTAAAATTGTTATTATAAAGTTAGTGAGGTTTTTTTTTTTTACTTTTAAAATGAAAGGGAATTTAACTTTAGAATTGCCTACCACAAAAAATATTGTAGATAATTATATATCTATATTTACACAGAGATAGATATAGATATATAGAGAGGGAGATGGGCAGTCCCCTCCCATGCAATTAACTGCCTCTGAAAACCACTGGAGGGTCAGCTATGGGTCAGTTCTGACTCTATGGTACACCACATACAATAACAGATATTGTCTGACATTACATATTACTTTATACACTTGCAAAGCAATGCAATCTTTAATCATAGAGTAGTAGGTACCAGTTGTAACAGAATTTTCAAAATAAGGCTTTGGTGTTTGCTGTTTAAGCAGGAAGGCTCCAGGGTAGGATATTGGGGTGTGAGAATAGGAATTATTCCAGCATTGTATGAGTTTAAAATACCAGGAAAAGAGATAAAGAATATTTTTAAAGGGATATTTGTTTTTCAGTTCTAAATGACTTTTCTTTTTCTAGGGAAATTTCCTGGCCAGCCAATTCACATCGTGTATGTTCCTTCTCACCTTCATCATATGCTCTTTGAACTATTCAAGGTATGAGACTTCACACTAACTGCAATTTTTTTCTGTAAAAAGCAGCTCACTGGTTATATTTTTATTTCATCAATAATACCCTATTAAACAGGAGCCTCACTACCTTCTCCCAATCATGTTTTTGTGCTCCTAAGGGGATGCCACAAGTCACATTTGTAAGGGTACTTTCTGTTCACTGCAATGTCAATATGTATTTGTGAGTGTATGATATGATTTATTGCATTTCAATGCTTCAGATCTGAGAGGATGTTTCCATTTGTCCAGGTGTCCAGCAAAGGCCTAGTCATTCATGCATTTATTATTAAAGATCATGGGATGAATGCTTCAGTGAATAAGGCCTTGTTACCTCCACCCCACAAGTTGTTCCATCTCCAAACCCAGAGACTTAGGTCCACATTAAGTTTCAAGTATATTTGAAGGATAGCCTTCAATAATCCATTTCAAAGTCCACATGAATAACTTGGGGATGTTGTTAAAATGAGAGGTTAGGGTTCTGAGATTCTCTATGCCTAACAAGCCAATAGAGGATGTTACTTGGTCACAGTCCTCCAACTGTAGCAAGGCAGTACTTCTCAGACTTAACTGTACATTAGACTCACCTGGAGGAGTTGTTAAAACACACATTTTAGAATGCCACCCACAGAGATTATTGACTCAGTAATTCCAAGAATTTGAAGTTCTAACAGGCTCTCAAGTGATGCCAATGTTACTGGCCTGAGATAGTCAGGATGTAATAATTAAATCTTCTGAAGGGTTATAAAAGCGAACTAAAACCCTGACTTACATACACACACACAAAAATTGAAGACCAGCTGAAGCTCTGCCATGCTTCCCCAGAGTCCTCTTGACTGGAGACAAAGAAATCTAACGAAAATTATATCTGTCTCTAATTCTGGTATAACTCTTTCCAGAACTGTTCCCTAACTTATTCTAATATTGATGCAGTGAGGTATTACTGTTTATACTATAAATACTGATCGATTTTATTTCCATTCAACTAAAGACTGAAAACTAACAAGCAACTCATTATTGTCAAGGAGATTGAGGTTCATTCAGGTGGCTGAAACCTAGTTTCTTCTATGATTTTTTTTTCTTTTTACTTTATGTTTAAATTGAGTAGAACAACTCTTGGGTTATTTTGCTATTATTGATAAAAGTTAGGATGATTATCAAATACAAGTTGAAATTTAATTTAGAATTATTTACTGGCCTTTTAAACACTACCTTTCTCCTGCAAGTTTTATAAAAGCTGACAAGTTTGTTCAATGATTTACTATATATCTGTTATATAATAGCCTCTCATACTTTGATGTAAAATGGAAAAGCAGAAGACGGAGAGCTAAGAAATGCACTTTAAAACCCAATTTCTTAATTTAAATTAAGCTTGCAAATAATAATTTGACAGTCCCAGAGTTAGATATAATTCCCAGAAGTCACATTACAATAGTAAACAAAGACTTTTCTACATGACACACTCATAAATAAAGCTGTTTTTCTACTGTTGTTAAGTGTCATCGAATCATAAATTACTCATAGCGACCCTATGAACAAGTCTTTAACACAAAAATCTTTTATCTTTTCTCTAAGTTCATAGGATTTCTGGAGGGAAGCTATTTCAGAAGTGGTTGCCACTCCTGCTTCCAAGTTCTTCTACTGTTGTTGTTGTTATGTGCCGTCCAGTCACTTGCGACTGATAGCAACCCTATGTACAACAGCCCTAAACTCTGCTCTGTCCTGTGCCAATCGCACTGTCTCTGACACTCCCATCCAGATTATCCCAATCACTGAATCAATCCACCTCATAGAGGGCCTTCCCCTCCTGCGCTGTCCCTCCACCCTACCAAGCATGATGTCCTTCTCCAAGGACTGG